TTTTAAGCATTTGCGCATAATAAATGTCTGCAAATGCTTAAAATTAAAACATGTTTTAATTTTAATAATATAAACCCTATTTATTAAGCATATTTAAACACGTTTTAATTTTAAGCATTAGCAGACATTTACTTTGCGCATGCATAACTTTAAAAACAACAACAACTCCGTAGTTTTGAGGGTCGTCCATAAATTACGCAACGTTAAATTTCACTAATAAACAAAACAAAAAAGGTCAAAAGTTTTCTCTCGCAAAGCCTTAAGTTAAATAAAAAACCGAAACAACGCATTAAGTATAATAAAAATCGCTGCGTAAAAGAGCTTAAGATCTCCTACTTCTGTTTTTTGAATAAATTTAGCGTTAAGTAATTTATGGACGATCCCTAATGGTCTTTTAACATAATAAAAAGGTTATATCTTTGATATAAAGATGTATATACCAGATCACAATTTATAAATTGATAAAATGTAGCCAAGGAAAATATATTTCATTTGAAGCATTTAAATTTATTAATTTTTAAGAGATAAAATACGCGGGAATGTCGGAATTGATTTTATCCATACTAATAAACAGAATAATTAAGTGTTTATTACAATTTTTATGCTTTAAAGCTTTATATATTTAAAAAAAAGAAAGTTTTATCTTTATAATAAGATTAAAAAATTGGCGTCTGATTACTTGTTTAAGTGTAAAAACACTGTACATCAAATCTTACATTTTAGCAATAAAAAAACACGTAAAAATGACTGAGTCTCATGAAACAAAACTAAGAACATAATGCAGAATATGTTGGGTATATGTTATCAAAGCTATCATTTATATGATTTTACGAAGAGAATAGATGTGGAACTAAAGTGAAACTTTGTTGCTTTTCCGGCAAGAATATGCGGAGAAATTCTAGGAAATGGTAGAGTTTTTTTTATCCGAATCAATAAGAACCACCTAAATTTGCATCCTCAAAAATTTTTTTACAAAAGCTTTTCATATTAAGAAATATTGAAAAAAGTTTGAATATTAAACTAAAATTGAGACCTCGACCTAACAAAATATATAAAATAAATGTAAAATATATAAACTATATAATACAAAAAACTATAAAACTATGATAATAAACACAAAAAACTAAAATACAAAAACAACTAAAATAAACTAAATGTGTTTGCTTTAAAGTCCATAAAGGAGGAGAAAAAAAGAAAAAAGATAAGTGCTAAATATTTTTATTGAAAATATTCGAACTAAACGCACAATAATTAACTAACAACCTAAACTTTTATCTCAAATAACATTTAATCTTAAACTAGAAGATACAAACCACATCTTAAAACCTTATGTGAATATTTGTGTGTGTACTATTTGCTACGACACTATGCATAAACCAATTATTTTAAAAAACTGTCTTCATTCGTTCTGCGCACCATGTCAATTACCACTTATCATTGTCAAACTAATATCAAAAACAAAATGCTCTAAATGTTTCTTTTCAATTCCAAATGATGGGTTAATTTTGTCAACCAATTTAATTAAAAATTTGCAAGAAGTATACAAGCAAATTGATTGCATACTTCTTGCAAATTAGATTAAATTATTTAAAATCACACAACTGTTAGAACAAAAGAAACATCAAAAAAATTGTCAGGCAACTCCAACATCAATTTCAACAACATTATCATTATCGTCATCAACTTTAAAAATAAACCCTTTATATATATATTTGAACTGGATTCAGCAAGTGTTATACCAAGGAGTATCAAAAATGCTGTCCTACATATATGTATTTTGTATAAAGTAGTGTAAGCCCATCCCATTAACCCTCATAAACAAACTTTAATACACGGAGTGCCATAAAATATTTCAAAGGTATTGTTATCTTAATGAAATTTTTATACTTTTTATTTTGGATTTCTATTTATACTCGCCAATCTTTTAAAATTTAACTTTAGAATTTAACAAAATTATATGTAATTAGTTTTTAGCAGTGTTATTTTAATCCTGTCTAATTTACACTTTTAAGATCAAAGAGACTATTGGCAGATGTCTCTCTCTCCCTCTCGCTCTCTCTCTCTCTCTCTCTCTCTCTCTCTATATATATATATATATATATATATATATATATATATATATAGTATCGGACAAAACAAGTGCAACCAAATACAACAAGTACAATACAACAAGTGTTTCATTACATCAATACAGTCCACATCCAATCAAGACGTTGTGTTCCACAGAGCATTAATGTATCATCACAAGGTAAATGTAACACGGTAAGCCTTGAGAAGCGTGATTATTTTTTTTAATTTTTTTTATGACTTCAAGTGCAAAAATGGCTCCTGGCAGTCTTGGATTGAAACTTTGAAAGAAAATTATTGGCGATTACGTAAGTGAAATGTCACGAAAAAGTATTTGTGATAAATATTGCATGAAAAAATGGACCGTATCAAGGTTATGTTCCGAATATCGTTCTACAGGGAAGTTGGCAGCAGATAAAAAAGGTGGAAGACCGCGTTCCACCACTTCTAGAGAGGATTCTATGACCGTCAAGAAGGATCCCTGGATATCATCAGTCGAGATAAAAAAGCAATTAGAGCTGCCTGTGTCGGGCCGAACAATTAGACAAGGTGCTGTTGAAGCCGTATTGTTTTCTCGACGCCCTGCAAAGAAACCGCTGATTTCACTAAAGAACCAGTAGAAAAGACTCCTGTTTGCTACACCTCATATTGACTGAAATGTGCTGAAATGGCGAACTGTCCTGTTCAGTGATGAATCGAAGTTCAATAATTTTGGGAGCGATGGCATTTGCCGTGTACGTCGACGGGCCGGAAAACGCCTCAATTTACGTTACTGCTATAAGACCGTGAAGCATGGTAGAGGCAATGTAATGGTCTAGGGGTGTTTTCCTTTTAACGATCTAGGTCCAATACATCGAATCGATAGAATAATGGACCGTTTCATGTATAAAAATATCCTGAAAGATGTTATGTTACCTCATGCTGAATGGAATATGCCAATAAAATGGGTTTTTCAGCATGACAATGATTTTGTCATGCTGAAAAACCCATTGCAAAAGTAGTCAAGCAGTAGTTTCAAGACAACCACCTATCGGTGATGGATTGACCGCCTAAATCTCCGGATCTCAACCCTATCGAGAACCTGTGGGAAATTGTCAACCGCAGAATTAATCGTGAAGGTGTTCGTAATAAGGATCAACAGTTTGAACAAATCCAAAAGGCCTCGGCAGCGATTCCACAAAGTTTCATTGATCACTTGATCGAATTTATGCCTCGAAGATGTAAGGCTGTGATCGACAACAAAGGAATTTTCATGAAATATTGATAGCGAAATACAGCTTGGTCAACATTTTGCGGAGTTGCATTTGTTTTGTCCAGAAGGAAATTAACTTTTTTTAATACTTTTGATAAACTTATTAATGTTCGTGTACAAATAATGAACTTTGTGGTGAATAAAACTTGAAGAACGTTGTCTCTAAACAGTTACATAGTTATTTCTCTAAATTGAAAAAAAAGTTTTTGTCAGTATTTTTAAGCCTTCAAATTAAAAAAAAAACTTACCAATTTTAAAAAGCATTATATTATCATCAAAAAAAGTATTAACCTGTTTATGATTTTTGCTTTAAACGATTCACAAACTATTATAATTTCAAAATAAAAAATCAAGGTTGTGACTAAAACATTCACAACTTTAGAATATATACCATGATGTAAGCACAGATTAAATTTCGCAGGAAAAACAACAAAGTTTCACTTTAGTTCCACATCTAAAAATATTTAAATGAAACCTAAAAAACCTCGTTTAGAGCCGTACTATCTCCTGCTTACCTACCAATATTTAAGCAAAATATGATGCATGCGCATAATAAATGTCCATTACTAAACCACCGTGAGAAATAGCAAATTTTATTTAGAACAAAGATTTTAAAGAGACGTAAAGTATTATAGAATGAATGTGTTTTAGGTTCAGTTATAAAAAAATTTATTTTCAAAAAGTTTACGCACATTTTTCTAAATAAAAAAAAAAAATTATTACGCGACTGAAAAAAAATCAAAAGAAGTTGTTTATTTTTTATTAAAATTTTATATTATCTTATTGAGATAAAGATACTCTGCAACATGATTAAAGAAGCATTTAGTGTTATTAAGTTCTACTTAATTACAAATACTTAATAAATTATCTTGACGCAACTATTCCCTAAATCCATTGCATTAGTTTTCAAAAAGTTAGCCCGTATTAAGCTTATACGATGGTACGATAACCGTTTAAATTTTTTTTCTCTTATAGATACTTTAAAGATCCGAGATAAACATCTGAGCTTCATGTTGGACTACTTTCTAAAAAGTGATATCATTTTTAAACTGAAAAAATCTATAATAGTATAAGCTTGGTTCTTATTTATATATTTATAATATATATATTTATATATTTATAATATATATATTTATATATTTATAATATATATATTTATATATTTATAATATATATATTTATGTATTTATAATATATATATTTATATATTTATAATATATATATTTATATATTTATAATATATATATTTATATATTTATAATATATATATTTATATATTTATAATATATATATATATATATATATATATATATATATATATTTATATATTTAAGGTTATTTATATATTTTACTAACTATTAAACTTCAAAGAAAGCATCCCCATCTTGTGTATATGACCTTCCCCATCTTGTGGATATGACCTTTGTCTTGATTCATTTTTTGTTATATATAAACTTTACATAACTTTTTTTTTGTTATATATAACTCTTTATTCACAACGTATAGTTATTTATTTTTTATTCACAACAAGCATTTATTAATTTTTTATTCACAATGAACTATACGAAGGCGGTATGAAATTTTCTATTATCTTATATATTATATTACTATAGCAAACTCTTCTAAACTAAAAATACTCTTTCTATTCACAAAAAAATATTGCTCGGACGAAACTATAATAAATCACAAATACTATATTAGGTATAAATAGTTTTCATTATTCACAATGAATTCTCAATACTATATAAGATGTATATAGTTTTCTTTAATCACCATGAGTTCTTCCTGTGTGCATATTGTTTTTTTTTTATTTGTAGTAAAATGTAGGCGGCTCTAGATTCTCTTTATTCGCAATGAACATTACTAAGGTGTATATAGTTTTCCTTATTTGCAATAAACTTTACCTTGGCGTATACGCTTGCAATAAAAGCACAAAAGATTCATCTTCTTTTGCACCGTCTATAAACTCTTTTAAGCTTAATTTTCCATCTGCATTTTTGTCTAGTTTATCAAACACTCTCTGAACATTTTCTTTTGACAGTCTTTTGTCGTCAAATAACCCAACCATACTTTTAACGGTATCAACTATACTTGTGAGCTCTTCTAGAGTTATGAAACCATTTCTATCAATATCATAGAGTTTGAATATCCACTCAAGCTTTTCTTCTATTGTGCCACGCGTTGTGACAGATAAAGAGGATATAAATTCGTGAAAATCTAAAAAACCGATACAGTAACCAAAAAGAAATCAACTTAGGGTTCAACTATAGCCTACAAGTTTGAGCTGTATTTTTTTTTTTTTTTTTTTTTTTGTTTTTCAAGTTAGCTTATAAAATAAAAATCGTATGACTAAAAAATTTTAATCTATAAATTTTAATCTTTATTTTTAAAAAAAATAAAATTTGTATATTTACCTATTTTTCCATCGCCATTATTATCGAACGTTCTGAAAACGTGCTCTGCGAATTTCTTTGCATCGGTAGATGCATAAAAGCTGACATAGAGTTCAATAAATTGTTCCCGGTTTAATGTTCCATTCGGACAATCAATTAAAAATCCACTATATCTCCTTTTTACTTCTTTAGCGTTAAAGTAAGTAGCATTTAACAACTGGTTAAGTTCGTCAGGAGGTAATTTACTGTTACTCTTTCCCATTTCAAATTACTTAATCTTTTAGAAATTAAATGATTTTGTAAATGATCTTATAAAACATTTATTAAAAGAAGACAAAAATATAAACTTTCAATATATAAGATAACATGGCACATTACAGTAAAAATAAATAGTAAAAAGTAAATACAACAAACATCACAACAAGCATGACTCGCAAAATAGCTATCGAACAATAAACATTATTTACATAACTAATATACACTTCTTTAGTTTATAGAACATTACTCTCTGTTAACTTTGACGTTTAATTATAAAATTAAGGAAAAATTAAGAAACAACATTTAAACATATATATATATATATATATATATATATATATATATATATATATATATATATATATATATATATATATATATATATATATATATATATATATATATATACACACATACATACATACATACATACATACATACATACATACATACATACATACATACATACATACATACATACATGTATAGATATATTAGTTAATTATTTATCTATTATTAAAAAAAGAAACTCAACTAAAATAAATAAATTTATAATAGCATAGCAATATCATAAATAAATTAAAGTGTGAGATAATAATAACTTAGAACTTAAAAATATGCGGTTAAAATTGCATCATTTTGAATTTTTATGATTACTTTATTGTTTATTTTACTTTTATTTTTTGATTACTTTACTGTTTTACTATTATTATTATTATTTTTATTATTATTATTATTATTATTATTATTACTATTATTATTATTATTATTAATTATAATTTCATTATTAAAATTTATAATTTATGATAAACTTTAAAGGAAACATTTAAAACTGGAAATATTTTATTCCTTTACCGTTTGTAAATCCATCTTGCATCAATTTCTATTTTATTTCATTTTTAAACTGATATATTGTGTTTTCTTTGTATTAACAATATCGGAAAACTAATTCCACAAAAAAAAAAAAAAAGGTTCACGAAATTGAATTGAGTATAACTCTACTTTTAAATTATAAACGGAAAAGTTACTCTTTGAAAATTTTATTGGCTATTTGTAATTAACATTAAATAACTAAAAATATTTTAAGAAACAATACTTTATTTTAAAACATTGGCGTTAATTTTTTATACACAGACCAATAATAAGAAAAAAAAAATTGTTAGAGTTTTTGTTCTTTGCTCGAACAAAATTTTTTAGTTAAGATCCAGTTTTTTGAAGGAGTTTTTTTTTTTTTTTTTTTTTGGTTTTATTGGATGTTACTGTTAAATTTTGCAGACATTTTGGTTGTGAGATATTTTATATGACTTTGAATGTTGAAATACATTAGGTGTTGTAATAATAGCCCCAAAAGGTCAAAATTTTGCATTGAATTACCTTGTAAACCAATAAATTTTTTTAAGTTAAACTATTGAATGGTCTTTGTCATATTGTTGCAAAAATAAAGTATTTATCTTGTTTAAAAACTTTTCATTTTTTATTGACGTTTCCATATTTTGTTTTAGTAAATCAATTTTTCAATTACTTCACATAAATAATATTTCACATAAATAATTTTAGTGAAATTGAATGTCCTTACTTTTTTTAAATGAGAATAATATTACTTGTAAGTAAGATAAGTATATGAGTAAACTTATCTTAAGATAATCTTAAGATAAATTTACTCATATCTAAATATTTTATTGTATATATGTTGCATATCTATATATGTTATTGTGTTGCTATTATATTTTAATGGGGATTAAATATACCCTGCACTAAAATTATCCACTATTGTATTATCCATAAGCAAAAAACCAAGCAGTTAAAATTTACAACAGCATACTCCTGATAAAGAGTTAATTTATCTTAACAACATTTATATATAATATTAGTTCACATTTGTAATACTTTTATAAGTTTTACTTAGTAATGTGCAGTTGTTTAAATAACTATTTTTTATTGTACAATATTAACACCTGATTTTAATGTTTATTAAAAGACTTATTTTAGTTTTACATTCAACTTTACTGAATATTGTGTCGTTGTAAAACTTTGTCGCAGTATCAGATGATTCTACAGTATAATCATATACTACGGTATAGTCAAATAAAGTTATACAACCGTATCCTTTGACATAATTAGTATGATTAGTACAATTAGTATAATCTTGTAATGCTTTATAAACTCAAAACCTTGTATAACTTTATACTTCAATAAAAAGTTGCATTATTAAAATTCAGTATCACCTTATTATGAATAATATATAAACTTTTTTTCTTATCGCCTGAGGTTAATTTGAACATTACTTTTACAGAAATTCAATAAAAATTATCTGATAATGTACAAGATGTGACGTAATGTTTTGATGTTTAGAGGCTCTAATCAATTTAGTTATGGTGGCCATAAAAATATTGATCCTCATTTGGAAAATGTTATACTATTTTCAATTTTTTTTTTGTAAAAGTGGTGTCCCTAAAAACTAACTATCCTGAAGAGTTTTCCTTATGGCTTGATAAACTAGATTTTTTTAAAATAACATTTGTGTTATACTTTTAGAAATACCGAGATTATCTTTCTTTAGAACGAAAAATATTTATGTTAGTGAAATCTACATTTATTATACATTCTTATTATATATATTAAATTACATGATATGCTTATATAATTCTAATAAATATGCTATCTCTATTATTTTATCTCTATTATATGATATAATTTATCTGTTGATTCTTTTATCTTTATTATTCTTTTGCACAATACTTTTTAAAATACACCCCTTTTAAGTAAATCAATATATTAAATAATAAAATTTACATAGTAATATCTTTGAGCAAAAATACAATTGGAGAACTTAAATTTCAAACAATAAAACAGTACTATACAATACTCAAAACGAGTATCGTATCATATTAAGACAGTATCGAGTATCGTATCGTATTGATACTGTATTTACAAGTAGCAAAAAAGTTTTTATGAGAAAAAAGATTTTAAAAAAACTTTTAGCAGTCTTAAATTTAAGGACATTTTTTTTATCAATCTTATATACATTATCAGATTTTCAAATAACGGTTATCCAAAAATATACTTAGTTTTCAATCATAAACCAACTTAAATTGTGAAACTTGTGAAAAAAAAATTGTGAAACAATTGTGAAACCACGACCTTAATCTGTTTCTTTTTTTCTTTTTTTTTTGGTTTACCGGTTTAAAATAAAACTAACGAACTTTTAATAAATGACATTGAATTCAACTTTTTGGAAGGCTTTTTAAAATATTCACGTTTTCTTTCATTATACAACAAACTTTGAATGACTGTTGTTTAACTTGTACGAATATTTCATTTAGAAACTTATGTTGTAATATTTAATGTAGTATTTTTTTAAACTATATTGTTATTTTATTTAATCATTATTAATTTTTTTGTTTTTTTTTATTTTATTACTATTATTTTTTTTAATTTATTTAGGCGTCCCAAGAAGTCCTTACGGTCTTATCACAGAACACAGCGGATGAGCATTTAATTGGAAGTCTAAAACTGAACATTTTTTTAAAGATATTTATAGTTTCAAACGGTATAAAAAAATAATAATAAAATCAACTTCACGAAAATAACTTGAAAGTAACTTATAAATCAAATAAATTTAAAAAGATAAAAATAGTAACAATCAAATATTCTAAGCTTTATCATTTCTCCTTTTATATATTTATACATAAATATTGTTCTTTTGAATACTGTTATGTGTTTAGTGTTATAAAAATGCATTTAGTTTTATAAAAAAAGTATTTAGTTTTATTTTACAGGGTTGGTGATCAGACTACATTTGATCTATTCTTGTTGAGTAAATATTATATATAATGAATGTAAATTTTCCTTATAGGCTAACTACGCACAGATGTTAAAATGTTCATAGAGATGTTAAGAATAAAGATAAGATGCTTTCCACTGTATTGCAGGTAGTATTTGTTTTTCCTGACGAAAAAAATCAAATATATAAATAATGATAATAAATACTTAAAAAAAAAAAAGAAAATATTTTGCAAAGCATCCTTATTTGATATAAGTATAAACATATATATGTTTGGAGTTCGCTCCATTACTGGAAGTTAGCTATCTCAAAGAACAAAAAATGCTGGATCCGCCCCTGGTTTCTAGAAATTTTAATTTTCAATAATCAAGTTCAATTTTGTTTGCTATCCGAATCCCTTGTCAAATATATGTAAGCTTTTTTAGAAATATCTCTTATAAATGCCATTGCTAAAGTTATTGCTAATATTTCATTTTCATTTATTTTTATACTCAATACTTCAATAGGATTTCTGTTTGAGTTATGTCATCATTATCAATCATTTGGTTTTTATTATTTTTATTTTAATTTTATTATTATTATTATTTTTTGTTTGTTTTTTAAGTGCCCCAAGAGAACCTAACAGTCTTGTCACAGAATACCGCGGATGAGTATTTGACTAGGAAGTTCACGCCTCCTACCTAACCGATGTCGCTTCTAAAGCAAGCACTCTAACAACTGCGCCACGGCCGCTTTATTTTGCTAATCATTTTTATTATAGTTTCTTAATTTGCTATACTTTTATTGTTGTTTTTGTCATCATTAATATTTGATTTTCATTATTTAATTAAACTACTGTTTAGGCGATACTGTCTATTCATTCATGTTGATTCATCCATTCTTAACAATCATTTTTTTTCACCTTTTTTTTTATTAGTTGTCATCTTAGTTATTATTTGTTATTATTTGTTATTATTTTATTGTTACTACTTGTACTTTGGTTTTGTTTGTTAAATTTTTTTATATTTGATTTTTAATTTGCAATGATTGAAAAAAAAGCTTAGTGGTTGATTTTTTAAAACCAAGTTAGACGAAGACAATAACTTTAAAATATTAGAAAAAAGTTTTATAATTCTATTAAAAAAACAAGATTTCAATAAGGTAGAACGAAAGTTAAAATGTCCTTTATTTTAATTTTATTCTTAAAAAGTTGAATTATTTATGTAATGTAAAATTATTGTATTTGTTGTAAACTAAGAGATTGTTGTTGAAGCATTGTTTTTTAAAGTTTTATTGTTGTTTTATTTTTACTAAAAAATAAACTCGCCAAATAAAGATGCCAGTTCGTAAATATGGTACTGGCATTTCGTGGTTAAAGGAAAGTAATGTTTAGAATTGAAATAATAGCTTAATGAATATAAGAGCTTTATAAGATATTTTTCCTAGATAAATTAATAATAATTTATAGATTATTAGTTTAGTTAATGTAAGTTAATTTTTTTTTAAAAGTTTAAATTAATTTTTCAAAACTGTTATATCTTAGAACATTTTAATGTGAAACGGATTTTTGAAACCTCTCCAATCAGAGAGCGCAGATGGCAAAAGGTGGAATTACATATCATAGCCTCACCCACCCTTTGAAATAGGTACTACACACTAGTGTTGTCATGGCTATAAACCTTGCCTCAGAAACGTAAGATCCGTGGTTCAAACCCCACCTCTGGGCAAGTTTTGCGACATCGGTTTTGAAGGAGGCATGAACTTCCCATTAAATGCTCTTCCACGGTGCTCTACGATAAGACCGTAAGGACTTCTTGGGGCACCTTAATCAACTTAAAAAAAAACAAAAACAGTTTAGTGTCCAGCACTAATACAAACCAAATTCTTGCTACCTAAACAAAAACTTTTTAAATTTAAAATACTTTATTGTTCAACTGAATAATTCAAAAAATAACAGAGTTTCTAATATTTGAAGTTAAATACGCTATTATAAAAAAGAGTGAAATGTAAAATTTTTAAAACAAATTTATTTTAAAGTGTTTAATAATTTTAAATTAAAGTGTTTAACAAATTTAAAAAAATCATTGTTTATTTTGTTTTCTTTTTTACGTGCTTGATTATTTATATAAACTTGAGGTACATCTTCTTCCTACCTCATATATATCTCCTTCCTCATATATATCTCTTTCCTGCCTCATATACATCTCCTTCCTGCCTCATTTATCCCTGCTTGCAGGTATAAAACGTTTTTTATTTATACTCTTTTGTTGTTATCCAACGACGTAAAGTAAATAATCAACAAAATGCTTAAAAAATAAAAAAGAGAGTATCTAAACCTTGTAAACAAATTCGCAAAATGCTCAAGTTTTATTCAAAAAAAAGTTGGTTTAAAATATTATTTTTAAAATTACTTTCATGTCAATTGGAGATATTTTTTAGAAGCAACTCTCTCGCATGACTCTCTCGCACGACTCTCTCGCACGACTCTTTAGATTCCTCAGCTGCTCTTCTAAAACAGATTGTGTTTTTATAGTAAACCAAACGATATATTATATATGAATATATATATATATATATATATATATATATATATATATATATATATATATATATATATATATATATATATATATATATATATATATACATATATATATATATATATATATATATATATATATATATATATATATATATATATATATATATATATAAATGTTTATAAAGTTTTATTTTATCAGATTTTACCTTCAAACATAACAATGGTGTTTAATAATTACCATTGGAATATTGCGTTGGCTTTGATATTGCCAGATTAACATACGAAGCAATGACTTTGTACGTAAAAAATTGAATATTAATATTCAATACTCCAACTTTTCATATAAAACTAATTAATAATAAAGTTACAAAAAATTGTTGCTTATTTACATTAGATAGATATAGATGTAGGAAAAAAGAGAGTTATCATTATTCTAATGGATTAATTTGTCTATTTTTGTTGTTGTTTAATTCTTTTAAATGACTACCAAGAATTTATTGAGAATCGTTTAAAAATATCCAAGAGTATAAGCGTAACGAGGTATTACATGTTCAGGCTATATTCCACAATAATTGACAGATAATATATATCTTCTACAATACATTTTTGCTATTTTTAATATGAAGTTTGAAACCAGTTCCTTAGCTATTTTTTTCTTTACTTAGGTATACTTTATAAAATTTTATACCGAATTTTTTTTATTGTTAAAAAAGCGCATATAAAATCATCATTAAATTACGGTATCCAAGTTTTATTTCCACTATTCTATGATTTAATTACGATACCGATACGAGATGTTTTGATACGATATCGGGTTAAATTTTATTTCCGCCCGTGACTCACAAACTTATAAAACTTGCATTTTTAAAATTGATTTTAATTTTTTTATTTTAAACTGTTTTTTTATAAATGGTATGCAATTATTTTAACTTTATTTTAATTGTATGTTTAAAAATAAAAAAATAAATTATCATTAATACTTACCATAGTGTAAAAAAATGTTGAATTTATCTGAAAAATATAGCTTGAAGCATAAACATAAATCAACAAAAATTATTTTAGAACGTTTTTGTTTTGTTTTTAATAAAGGAAAGCACTCATAACTTCTTGTTTTTTTACGTCGTTTCAATCTGTTTCATCTGCTTCTCTATAGGTATTAATAATTTAATGCATTTGTTAGGCTTGCTTATGAGCCTTTTTTTAGAGAAATTAAAATCGTTCTTTCAATTACGTAAATCAATCAAGTTAAAAAGAACTTCAGATCTTCCTCCGCGTTTTAATTTGCTTACTTTTCTGCAGAAAAATATTTACCCTCTTTCTATTTACGATTAAGCTAGCCTTTTTCTTATTTTTAGAATTTATCATAAAAAGGAAAGATAACCAAAGTGATCAAAAAACTCAGATGACTAAACTGAATTAAAAAATGATAAAATTATGCTCGACAAACTTTATTTAGTATTATGCAAATAAACCTTTTATATGTTTTTATTTCAAATACTATGTGACATAATTTTCTCACCGTAACATCGTCACGCTCATAATGTGTAAACTTTCGTGGCTTATATGTGTGTATTTCTTTAGTTTCATTATGACAAGAAGTCGATTAAAAATAATATATAAATTTATGTTTTATATATACCGTACCCCCTAATATTTATTTTGCTTTTGATCTAAAATAAACTCAATAAACAACATATTTAAAAATAAAAAACACCGTATACTTTTATTTGTAAAAATTTGAATACCTTATATATTTTTAGAAGTGAAACTTGATAAAGATAACATTATTGTTCAAAAAAATAGATTTTAAATAGATAGGACATTCGTCCAGATTATTTAATGAATGAGGAATGGTCGATGGCGTTCCACCACTTGATAATCTAGATTAAAAATAAAAATATAAATATTTGTTGCATTTGAAAGATTTAAAAAAATAAAATTTTTATTTCTTTTAAATTTACCAGATCCATTGTCTGTTGTCTTTCAGACCTGTTGTCTGCCAAACCTGTTGTCTGTCAGACCAGTTGCCTGTCAGCCCTGCTCTCTGTTAGACTTGTTCTCTGTGAAACTTTCGAATGAAAGCGTGCTATAAGTAGGTACATTGAGTTTGAACTTTCTAAATTTCTTTTATGCGCTTTCACTTAGAACCACTTCGACTTGAATTCTTTTCTTATGAAAATCAGTAATAGTTCAAAAATCAAAAACTTTCTTTATTCTCATCAATCATTACTAAAGTGTCAATACTTCAGTTATATATATATATATATATATATATATATATATATATATATATATATATATATATATATATATATATATATATATATATATATATACAGGGGCGGACTGGCCATGTGGAAGATGTGGACTATTCCACATGGGCCGTTGTTAAGTACTTTGTTTTTACGTATATGTATTCTAATAAATTTTTTCTGTTCGATATTTATTCATTAATGTATATATTTATAAATTAAGCATAACTTTGTAATTTACGTCTGTTATCTTTGCTGCTTTTCCTCATTTTTCGTTGGCCTACAGGGCCGTTAAAAATATTTTTCCACATCATAATAATTTGGCCAGTCCGCCCCTGTATATATATATATATATATATATATATATATATATATATATATATATATATATATATATATATATATATATATATATATATATATATATATATATATATATATATGAAATTTAATAATATTGCTTTTCATATTTTGTTTACTTTATATACTAGCTTATTATACTATTCGCTAGGAAATTCGCATAAAAAAATATGAGCAATAAGTAATAACAGTGTAAATATGTAAAAGTAATAACAGTGCAAATATGTAGTCCAATGACTTAGTTTTAGTTCAGTCTCTATCAAAGTGATTACTTAAAACATTGCCGACGCTACGAGGGAAGAAGAGAAAGGAGGAGGGTGGGTAGAGTTTGCTAGGGGCACAAGACTTTTTTTTAAATTTACGATTGTGCGGTTCGACATTAAAACATGTGTCGTCGGCCCTGGGAAATGCTGAAAACTTAAACACCATAACTTAAAATAATCTGAAAATATATTGTTGTGCATAAAGTAGTGGAAAATTATAAATTTAGAAAACAACAGTTTAAGAATAAAGTAATAAGAAATGAAAAGTTTCTAAAAACTTTCAAAAGCTAATGAAAATGATTTTTTAGCATTAAAATTTTGCTGTTTGTCAACCCAGCCTTTGGAAACCTCCCCTAATTAAACTTTTTTTTTCAAGATGGAGATTAATGTTTTTGATCCATTTCAGTCTTTCTATTTTTATTTTTTTTAAACAATTACAGTCTTTCTACTGTGTGCTATATTTGGATATTCAAAAGATCAGGCTTTTTTTTGTTCCCACCCCAACGAGGTGTGAGAATGATAATATTTTAGACTTTTTAATGAAACCCTATAGAGAGTAGGCAAAAATGTTATACCAGAAAAAATAAGTTAGAAAAAATGTTATATCAAAGAGTTATTTTGCAAAAATGCCTATCAAAGTCACCCCGTTTGATAGTTATATTTGACGTTTAACCGGCACCCACTTAACCCTGCTTAATAAATGTTTAATTTGGCCAATTTGATGTTGACGAAATTTACTGTTAATTTTATTTATTAGCTTAAAATTATATTTATATAATTATATTAATATAAAATTATAAAATTGTAGCTTAAAAATTGCAAAATAGTTATATTGTTTATGTATCCTATAACATAGTACATATGTTATAAGCACTGTACCATCCCCTATAACAACACAATATGAACACTGTACCAGGCCCTAAAACAGCAAACCTTACTTTACATTTAAGTTTTCTATTCTTTTCAGTTGCATGTTTCCAGAATATTTCTATTAATTTTTTACTTGTTATTAAAAAAACGCACGCATACACATTCCCGGAATTCTCCTTTTCTAATCCAATTTATTGTCATTTTAAAGAATATCTAATTTATTGCTTTTTCGTAGAAGAGTGAACATATACTTCAAATTTGTTCATTTAATTCAGCTATAAAAACAGTTATAAAACTTTTCATTTCATGAGTTCAACTAAGTACGTTTAATGCACAAATTTAGTGGCTTATAATTTATAAGCCTCGAGTACTATTAAATATTTAATATTTTCTTTGTTGTATTTAAAAGTAACGGTATGGTATTCGGTATATTAAAAAAACCATTCCGCCTTATCATTGTTATATATAGAGATTTATAAAAAGGTGACGGGATGGCATATATATATATATGTATATATATATATATATATATATATATATATATATATATATATATATATATATATATATATATATATATATATATATATATATATATGTATATATATATATATATATATATATATATATATATATATATATATATATATATATATATATATATATATATATATATATATATATATATATATATATATATATATATATATATATATATATATATATATATACAGTGACGCTCAAAAGTGAGTTGACAGGCGTATATTTTGTGGAAAACTGCTGTATCGCGATCAAAAACCAAAACGAAAAGCAAAATATTGCAAAATTCCCTTCGAGATACAGTTACTTTTTAAAAGTAATACAAAAATAGCAAAAAATATAAATAGATAAGTTAATATATCACGATTTATAAATTTGGCTAACTCCAAAAGTCTGTTGACAAGTGTTTTTTTACCTTTCACCGGAAAGTTAATGAAATAAGCAGGATAATGGCTTAATTAAGTTAAATAATATTTTAAATAAGCATTTTAAATGTCACTATTTGTTTTGAACAGCATATTGATGAAATATACTTTTTTAAGATAACACATCGTGAAACTTTGACTGATACCAGGATTGAAATTTATCGTTTAATTAAGGAGGAAGGAAAGTCATTGAGAGAAGTAGCAAAGATAGTGTTTGAGTGCGGAAGGTGTAAGGATGATCGTTAAGCAAATGAACCAGCAAAAAACAGCAGAAAACTCAAATAGATCAGGTCGACCAAGGAAGGCAACTGCAAGAGATGATAGATTGATCGTTAGAACATCGGTTGAAACGCCAAACATGAGTTCAATAGAACTTTAAAACGAATTAGATTTGGCAATTAGTCGTCAAACAATTAAAAGACGTCTCAATGATGTTGGATTATACGGTAGAGCGATGAGAAAAAAACAGTTTATCTTTATAAATAATTGAAGAAAAAGGCTGGCATTTGCTAAAATGCATATAAAGTTGCTACTCGAAGTCTGAAAATCTGTAATTTGGACAGACGAATACTTTTTTGGGGGAAGGGGGAGGGGCAACTAAATGTGAATGTTGTCATAAATGCCTAATAACCAAATGTAGAACTAATATTCAACTTTGGTTTTAGGTAAACAGAACTAATATTCAACTTTGGTTTTAGGTAAACGTCTTGCGGACGTCCAGACGTCCGTAAGACGTTTTATGATGCGTGCTCGCTTGGTCAGGATATAGGTTTATTATTATCTCAGTTATTATTATCTGATCAGGATTAGTTATGAACTATTTATACTGTTTTGAATTGTTTTTCATAAATAGTACCAAGTTCTGTGATAATGGGTTCTTTACCCTTTTTATTGTTTACAGTAAAAAGTTTTGAACTTTTAGACATTTGAAAGAACTCCATTAGTTTTTTTAGGTTAGAACTATTTAGTTTTTTAATTTTTATGTATTTTTTGTAAAAATTATTGATTGACGTTTGGTTTAACGGCTTTTCGGAAGTTTTTTCAAGCAAGTTTAAAGCAAATAATAATAAAAGAGGTTTGTTCCTTCATGAATCTAGTTTTACTCCATTTTCAAAAATAAAACAAAAAAGACTTCACGGTACACACAGATTTTTAATGTAAAGATAAATTTTTATTTGTCTTGTGTTCTCTAAAGAGCCGATGCTCCACCTTTAGTAATAGTAGTAATTGATAGTTCATTTTTAAAATCATCTAGAAGATTATGAATTATAAAGAGATATTGGTATTTAAGTGACAAATTAGAGAAATTGGTAATTAAGTGATCATTATATAAGTTTATAAAATTGAAACAATTCCACATGTATTTTGGAATGCTAAAATCCTCTATTATTTCAATAAAAATTTAATAATGGTGACTTTAAGTCCGACTGAAATCGATAGTGACAAGTGATCACTAATAATTAAATAGAAGGAAGGAATAATGATGCGTTTATAATAGAGCGTAGTTTTACTACTTTTATTGCGAGGTTCTTCATCTTTGTAACTAGACAAGATTGATCTTTTGATGTTTTTGTTTATTTGCCTGATTGAAATATATTGTTTTGAACATTTACAAGTTTTATTGTAGTTCAAGTTTTGATACTCAGTATTTGCATAGAACTGGTGGGTAATAAAAAATTAACAAAAAATTAGTATATTTAATTGATGTAAGTTTATTAATATTTTTTTTATTTAAGTTAATGATTATAGTGCTAGACTTAAAATTACGTAAAGTAAACTTTGTCGAAAGTTTTTATCTTCAAATATGCCGTTCGAAGCCATTTTATTAATTAAATTCTTTCTGGTTCACGTTTAATTATTATTATTCAAAACAGAAGGTTTGAATGTTTTATCTTTTTTTTGAATTATTTGCAAAGACGCTGTAAGATCTATTACATTTTTTTTCTTTAATCAAGATAATGGATATAACTGCCTAATTCTGTTTCCATGTACAGTTTAAGATTCGCCACCCGAGTAACAAACAATATTAGCGCAATATTGTTTACAGTATGCAAACTGTATAAAAAATATTGCGCCAAATTGTTTGCTACACGATGGTTTTTTCCCCCGAAATATTTGTTCCCAATAAAGTTTCCGATAACTATCTAAGGGTATAACTTTTAATCAAAGCGCAGGTTTAATATTTTGGACAAATCAAATAAAATTGGATTGTTGTCGCTTTTTAACTTTTTCAATTTCTGTTCAAAATTCGGCAGTTTAGTTTTATTGGTGGTACTGGTGGTCTGTTGCTTTTGGGATAAGACAATGTCATTCTACGACATATGCAAGCGTTTTATAATTATGCAGTTGGTTTTCGGCTTCAACTTTTGCAATCGGTTTTCCGCAGATGTCTGCAGTGAATTCAGAACTTTTTTATTTTTACATTGTGTATGATTTTCAAGTTGTGCATAATAATTGAAGAGCATTTTTCTAAAAAGGAGCAATGTCATGTACATGTTCAGCAGAAAAAAAGAATTCAATAACAGCATAAGCAAGCTTACAATATTCTTGAACCGATAAATAAAAACTATTTTTGGCAAAAGTTTACACAAGTAGAACAAAACTCATCAACCAATCAAATACCACTTTACTTTAAATACCACAGATTTTTCTGATAACAATACAAAAAGATGTTTACTGCATCAGCCTTAGTAATTTTAGTTATATTTTCAAGACAACGCAACAGGTTCACAGATTCTACTGTATTAAAGCTGAGAATTGTAGAAGGAAGTTTTATTTTGAATGTAAGTTTAAAACTCTTGATGCTTGAATAGAGAAATTATACATACCTAAACTGAAAAACTTTACTATACAGACCTGTACAGAAAAACTTTATTATAAAGATCTGGACAGAAAATCTTTATTATACAGACCTGTGCAGAGAAACTTTACTTTAATAAAATACTTGTTTAAAAGTCCCTGAAAACGAGAAATTAGGTTTAAAACTAGTACATGAAAATAATAAAATAATAGTTATAAAAAAAATTAAAGATTAAAAAATTAAAGATATTGAAAAACTTTGGCATCAATTTGGAATTTTTTTTTAGTAACAAATTAGATAAAAAAAAGTTTTACTGATTCTTTAAAAATACTTGGTAACAAGAGGCATTAAATTCTCTATTAACATACAAAATAGAAGGAACGTTTAGTTAAAATGGTAAATATCTCGCTCTTTTCATAGTTTATAAGACAACCAATCAGTCGTTAAATTGATAAAATTTTCAAAAAAATCTTTTTACGTGTTGCTCATGAATTTTATTTATGAGCAATATGTAAAAAGATTTTTACACTATTTAATTTATAATTTTTTAAAAGTTCCAAACTCATAGAATTCATGGGATTTAAAACTTCTGCAAGTATGAAAACATTTTAAGATGTTTGAAAACATCGTGCACGCTCGTATAAAAATAATATTTTATAAAGTCGATCAAGTTGTACATAGTTTTTAAGTCGATCTAGTCTTACAGAGTTTTGCAAAAGAAAAAACAAACACTTTCTTCTTTATTGAAAAAGAACATAGTAATAATTTTTTTAAAAAAATTTTCAGTAATAAAAGGTATTTTACAAAACTTAATCAAATAGTTTCTCACTTTCTGTACAAGTCTCTCTCTCTCATTTATACAATGGCTAACTATGAATTATTTTTAGCGTTGGAAAAGCTGAATAATATCAGTATGTTTAAACATATTAATATTATTCAACTATGTGTTATGCTGGAGGTCTTCGTGGAAGGTGTGGCAGCTTGTTTAATTTTTTGATTTTTTTCCCGTTTGTTTCTTTACTATGCGTTTGCAGATGAGTTTGCAGACTTCCACTTTGAGAAAAAGACTTTCGACACTGCCAACACTTATATGGTTTTTCACCTAAAATTTATGTAAAAATTTAAAAGATTTTTCACATACAATTAAAAATTTATGTATATATGTATGTATGTATGTATGTATGTATGTATGTACATATATATACATATATATACATATATATATATATATATATATATATATATATATATATATATATATATATATATATATATATATACGTTTAAAATACATATATACATACAATTAAAAATTTATGTATATATGTATGTATGTATGTAAATATATATATATATATATATATATATATATATATATATATATATATAAATAAATATATGTATAAATATATATATATATATATATATATATATATATATGTATATATATATATATATATATATATATATATATATATATATATATATATATATATACGTTTAAAATACATATATACATACAATTAAAAATTTATGTATATATGTATGTATGTATGTAAATATATATATATATATATATATATATATATATATATATATATATATATATATATAAATATATGTATAAATATATATATATATATATATATATATATATATATATATATATATATATATAAATACGTTTAAAATACATATATACATACAACTAAAAATTTATGTATATATGTATGTATGTATGTAAATATATATATATATATATATATATATATATATATATATATATATATATATATATAAATAAATATATGTATAAATATATATATATATATATATATATATATATATACATATATATATATACATACATACATACATACATACATACATACATATATACATAATGTGTGTATGTATATATATATATATATATATATATATATATATATATATATATATATATACATATATACATAATGTGTGTATGTGTATATATATATATATATATATATATATATATATATATATATATATATATATATATATATATATAATGAATATATATATATTCATGTACATACATACATATATATATATATATATACATATATATATATACATATATATCTTATACTGCTGAGTTAGGTGAGCATGATGATGTCATACTCACCTAATGTCAAATAGCCTGCTGCCGGGGGCTTCAGTACATACATCAACTGACAAATAGCCTGACTCGCCGTGGAGTGCTGCTACATCGACTGAGGGTTTGGTATGGGTCAGCAACATTTTCATTCATTATTCTTTGTTTTCCCTCATCGTTTTCTAAAAATGCTCACTTAATTTAGGCTAGCAAAAAAAGTGAGCAATTGCGCATATAAATATGCTATAGTAGATATATACATATATATATATATATATATATATATATATATATATATATATATATATATATATATATATATATATATATATATATATATATATATATATATATATATGTATATGTATATGTATATACAGCTTCCTGATGAAATTACTGATGGAGAAAAAAGTTGTTGGAGAAAAAAATTAGATAAGTGTTTTTACTAATTTATTATTGCTCTGTTCTTTAAGAACATTGAGCACCCAATTTGTAGAATACACTAACATAATTTACATCTATCTATATAGCAATAAAGTCTTAAATCATTTTTTTTTCGGAAAATGATAATTATTTTTAAAATATTTATAATACTTAGCTTTATTTTATACCCAACAAGACATAATTTTGAAAAACTTTTTTTTTCAACATTCGGGACCTGCTAAATATTCAAATACTTTTAAGTGGTTCTTGAATAGTTTGGTAAAAAAATTTTTTACATTGTATACAAAAATCAGAATGGGAAAAAGTTGAATTTAGGCAGTTTTAAAATTTTTTTACTGCATAGTGGACACTCCTCGTGTCATGCGTGTATTATCTATTATACGTATATTATTTACGTATATTACATGTGTATAAACGTATTATACACGTACATTATTCATCTTTATTATTATAAATCTAATCAGATTTGTAATACTTACTTATATATAATTTTTCTTGACTTTTAATTGTAAAATGAAATTAATAAAAGTAGTTGCACCAGAATTTAAAAAGTTATTGTAATTAATGGGAAAAGTTTCGATTATACAAAATGTTTTATGCGCTATTAAACACTATACAACAAGTTAATGCATAGTAACGTATGCTGTATGCAATTTAAAATTTATGCGATTTTAATGTTAGCAATCTTAAAATTTGAAAAATATAGGTCTTTTGCCTATAGAGAACACACTAAGTCTTTTTTAAATATATTTCCTTATAAATCATGAAATGATTTATAAGGAAATATATTTAAATTAGATTATTCATGAAATTTTTCTTATTCTTCCACCTCTTATCTTATATTTTCAATTTAATCGTGAGCAAGAAATAAAATGTTTAAGTTAAGAATAGTAGATCATTAAAAGAAGGTTCAAGAGAAGATGATGCGAAGAATACATAAGATAAAGAATAAAAGATGGTTAATAGAAATTGAACTTCATAAAAAAAGACGCTTTGATTTTTGAATTTCTTTTTTTTATTGCCTCCTCAATTGTGAGAGGATTTTTTAAAAATGCATAAACTTGGCCAAGACAAGATTTATATATTTGGCATAGTTGCTCTACAGTATGTGTACTAGGGTTATAACATTTATAAAAACTAATGCTCCTGTAGTTTTTTTTTGATAAACTTTTGTCTAAGAAAAATGAAATAAATGTCGTTTAAATATTTTTTTAGAAAAATTCACCCCAAAAACACAAAATACATTTTGAATATATTGTATATATTATGTAACAACGTCAACAAAACTCCAAACGTTCTAATCTGCATACAAATTTAATCACTGTTTCTTGCTTAGATTATATTAAAACTAGCATCATAAATAATAAATGATAGTTTAAATAAAATAAGCGTAACAAAAAAAAAAAAAAAATTGATTGAAATAAATTTTTATGTAACACATTTATCTTAACTTCTTTATTACTCTTACTTTGCACCATTTCGTAGCACTTAGTAGCACTTAGTAGCATTTTTTGAAACTTTATGTAACTTAAAAGAACTTTTAGGACCTTTCTTAGACTTTCAGCAGATGCTTACAGCTTTTTAAAACCTTTTTTTTTTTGATTACCCAAAAAAATGTTATTACTAAGCAAAAAAAAAAGGACGTCTGTACCAAAAATCTAGTTCCTTTCCAGTAATTACACGGAAAAAGAGTAATTTAAAAAGAGAAAAATTATCAGATATTTTAATTACATCCTTTTATGGTACAGGAAATATTTTTTCAAAAAAAAAAAAATTTATTCTAGTGTCTACAAGATTTTAAGAATTACCTTAAAAATAATTTCAGAATTTGAAGTATGATGTAGCGTGTTTAAAACCGCCCCAGCGGGCATTTGTTTTTAAAAATTTTTAATATGTATAAAAATATAAATCATACTATGTGATTTAACCGTAACATTATTTTCCGTCAACTAATTAGATGTCATTTTTTTCTGTGAGAGAAGTTTCATTAAAAATTGGTTTGGTTGGCGGCATTTTCATTGAAAAGCTTGCTCATGGTAAAAGAGTGTTTTCTGGTGTTTTTTTGTAAATAAATTGGTAAATTTAATTAGCAAAAAATGAAAAAACATCTAGTACTGTGTATGAAAATTTCATGTGACTCTCCAACTTTCTGGATTCATAGTACACAAAACTTTTTAAAAACGTTTGTTATTATTTGGCTATTTAATAAATAATTTTTGTTTTGCGGTTAAATAAATCTAAAATTGAATAGCCGCATATAATACCTTCAAATAATACTTTTTTGACTTTAAACCGCTTCACTCCATCAGTCACTGACATTCTAATGATTTTTAGTAATGAATACAATTCTATATATTGTTTCATTCATTTTATTCTTACTGTTGCAAACGCTAACACCTTGTTATTTTTAATTAATTTTTTTTTCTTACGCATACACCAATACATAGAATTTTTTTTGTCGAGCGACCTGCAGTGGCGGATTAAGACTTCTTGGGGCCCGGGGCTATTTTTGTTTTTGAAGGCCTCTTTATGGGCCAAAGCCTAAAGTGACTAAAAAAAAAAACAAAAAAGGTTTTCTAAAATTTTTGGGGGCCCCTAAATTTGCGGGGCCCGGGGCTATGGTCCCCCTAGCCCCCCTTGATCCGGCACTGGCGACCTGGCTACTATGCTACAAACCTGGCTAAACTAGCATTGCTCAGCCTATAGCTGATTCTTCAGTCAGATTTTTTTTTTGCGCTTTAGATGAAATTTTCTTTCAACGTGCAACGTGTCAAAAATCAAAACTTGGTTATTTAACGCTTTTTTCGCAAGTTTGAAGTACCACTCTACTACAAATTAAAATTTTTAATTACCCACATTATTACTTTTATAAAAAATATTATTTAAATAATGGTAAATTAGTTAATTTTAGTAAAATCGTGCACCATTTTTTGTTAATTACGCATCATTCTGAAGTTAATTAAACAAGTTTTTTTTAATCAGTCAGTAAAAAAAAACTAAAAAAAAGAAATTTTACTTAATAAATTTTTTAATATTTTATTGTGTTACAAATATTTTTTTCATTCATTTAGTTTCGGTAAATAAAAAGTGGTGAAAGGTTTGTGTGAATAAAAAGTGGTGAATTGTTTGGGTGAATGAAAAGTTTGAGTAATGAGGTGAAAATAAATTGTTTTATAAGTATCCCAATAAACATGAGATGTGTTTAAGATTTATACTATGTATTTATACATATTAAATTTTTTTTTAATGGAGTATTTTATTTATTGTATTTTTTGAACAATTGTATTTATTGGGATGTTGTTCTAGCAGAGCAAAGTCAACACGGTACGATCCCAGTGGACATAAAACGTTTAAAAAAAGTATTTAAGACGTTTATACATTAAATGCGAACATAGACGTCTAAAACACGCAATGTGCGTGATAGTGAGATATAAAAATATTATTATAACCATAATAATACTGAGATAGAAATGGAATATCTCTAAAATTCTACAATATTGCATAGTCCTCTTTTTTAAATAAAAAAAGTTGCATTTAAAATCTCGCTATAAAAGTGAAAAAATATATAAGAAAATAAAATAGGCTTTCTTATCGCCAAAGATGTTTGTGTTAATGTTGTCTAAAATTAGCATAAACTTAAAATACCTGTGTGTGTTCTCATATGTCTTTTGAGATCTGTCGATCGTGCAAACGCACGGGAACATTGTGTACAACGGTATGGTTTTTCTCCGGTATGGTTACGTATGTGTCTTTGAAGGTCTGTTGATCGCACAAAAGCTCGGTCACATTTGTCGCATTTATATGGTGACTCTCCTAAACAAAATAATAACTGTACAACTTGGTGTCTGTATATATACATATATATAATACATATATATAATATATATATATAATATATATATATATATATATATATATATATATATATATATATATATATATATATATATATATATATATATATATATATATATATATATATATATATATATATATGTATATATATATATATATATATATATATATATATATATATATATATATATATATATATATATATATATATATATGTATATATATATATATATATATATATATATATATATATATATATATATATATATATATATATATATAAATATATGTTGAAGAATAAAAAAGCATTATAATATGTTTTACACACCTGTATGACTTCTTATGTGTCTTCTTAAATAGCAAGGGTACTGAAACGCTTTTCCGCAATACCCACATTTCCATGTTCGACCAGTACTGTCTGGACATACATACTTTATATGTCGTTCTAAATAGCTTTTATATGTAAATATTTTACCGCACTTGTAACATGTGTAACTTTCGTCAGCTAAAATTTGAAAAACAATTTTTATGGATTTCTCCGAATAATACGCTAACATCTCATAAAAAAGATTGCACAAGTAGAAAAGAAATCACTATACGTATATTATTAGTAGGTATATAGTTCAAAGAATCTTTGGAATAAATTATCTGTACTAATTGCGCGGCATTTTCGAGTTATGTTAGTGTCTTATAAAAACGTGATGCGGCCGGTGAACTTGCTAAGGTTTTTGAAACCTTCAAAATGAACTAATAATATCTATTATTATAATCATAAATATATTTATTACAATTTCTATAAAATAAAAATTAAATCAGAGTAAAAAAAATTACCATTTCCGTTTGGTGGTTTGAATATTTTTGTTAAGTACCACCGGTAGAACTCTTTTTTACTCGCTGACTCCAACTCTCCGTGAAACTCAATGAATGCTTTAATTTCATTTTTATCTAGATCTGTTTCCACAGCAACCTCATCAAGCAGTATCTGGTTGTTTTCCAAAAATTGTCGAATATTCTTTGTTACTACCTCGTTTCCTTCACTGAAAAAAAGTATGGGTAGGGATTTTAGTTTCATTTTGAATGTTTTTACCTATTTTGCTTTCTCGTTATCATAAAATTGATATATTTTTCTACATTCCTTTTATAATTAAAACACATAGCACAATAAAAAAATTATTAACGAAAACGAAGAAATAATTTTTCTAATGGAAAATTTCAAATTGTTTAATAAAGATTTTCATTTTCATCATCAACAAAAAAAAGTTTTTACAGTGTTTGCAATACTACTACTTAAAGACATGAAATAAATTTTCAAGAAGTAGGTATTAACCTTAACATCTGGGTAAGCTTCTTTTCTATATTATTGCATGCTATTTCATTGTTAGTTTCTTCTTCGTTTTCTTCTGTATTTGTTAGTTCATCTTGCGGTGTTGCTTCATGCACCATTTCAAGGTAAGTTTTATTTGCTGGTTTATCTTCAATGATGCACGACGGTGACAATTTCAACGATGAAGCAACTTTTTCAGTTGCAATTTTTTTAAAAACATTTACTATTGATGTGGCAGCTTTCTCAATATCATCTGTTTCAAATTTTGAAAGTTCTTGAAAGGTATCACCGTATTTATAAGATGGACTTTCGTTTTTAATTTTCTCGTTTTTTGAATGATTTAGTTGTTTATTTTGCTCGCTTGTATCAAACCAGTATGATTTTTCAAGCTCGTAGTTCCATTGCCACGGTATAGATCGACTTAGAGCTAATAGACTTCTGGCATACTCTAGGTACTCAGTAGGATGGTTCAAACAAGATTGCGTTTCTTTGTCTGTGAAAATAAATAATATAAAACTATGCTATATGTGTAGTTTGTTTTTAATTATAAATCATCCAAGCTATGCTAAAACCGAATCTAAGATGTGCAGCGTAAGCAGGGTTTAATTAAAATAGGATCTAAAACTACGGCGAATTTACATTTATTGAACTAATTTATGTCACAAAGTACCAAAAGTACGGTGCACGTGTTAGAAATGTACAAACTAAACACGCTCTTTGATTAAATAAACAACATTAAAAATTAACTCACGAGATTCAGGTAGTTTTAGTTCTTCTTCCTCGTCATTTTTTCGAAAATAGTTTCTAACCAAAAAAGATCTTGGCATCATTTAAAAATTGAGAAAAAATCAAAAACGTTTTAAAATCTTTAATAAAAAATCCAATAAAAGAAGAGCTGCAACAAATATTTTCCCTGCACCCAGCTATAATGTTTCTGCACGCGCTACTGATTTCGTTCGAGCACAAAGCAAATGAACCTGTTTTAATAATACACAAACTGCTGGCTCCAGTGCACAAAGCTCGGCAAGATTTAAAAGATCGATGAGGTGTTTTGCAAAATCAAGTTTCTTGCAACATTCAAATTCTATTAAAACGGTCGCATATGATTGGTTATTCTCAATGATATTTTAACCGAAAGATTTTGTTTTTTTAAACCAAACAAGTTTGATTGGTTGGAAATTAGGGTTAAGTTTTTGATTGGCAAACTTTGATTATAAATACAGTTGTTTGTTGTTTTAGATAAAATTGCAACTTTAAAGCAAATGACTCTATATCTAAGATCATTTTCCGAATTCGACCTTTTTGAAAGCAGTTTTTCTATCTATAAAAGATATTAGAAAGATTTGAAAAAACCTTATTGCACGCATGAAAACAAAATGTTAATAAAAGACAAAACATGCAGAACTTATAAATTTGGGGTTTTATTAATTTTTTGCAAAGTTTTTTTTATTTTGAACTTTTATGCAGTATTCAAGTTGTCTGAACCTTGAAATTACTTTTATTTGTAACCTAATGATCGATACATCCTATATTATCTTCAACAATTTTTAAGCAAGTGTTATTGTTTTTTAATTAGCAATAAGGCAATAATAAATAATAATATTCATGATGAAGCAATAATAAATAATATCATTCATGATAAAGCAATGAAACAAAATAAAAAAGTTAACAATTTTTTAAAGAAAAAAAAATGACGTTTACTTTAAAAAACCAAATAAGATACCAGTAGAAGAGCTTTGAATGTGCAACTAAATTTTTTTTTTTTATGCTTGTTTTTTAATTCAGAAACAAGCAAAAAGAAAAAGATCATCAATTAAGTAAACAAATACGAAAACGTACGAATGAAAAATCAAATTTAATAGCTTATTAAAAGCTGTTAAATATACATTTAAGTAATACGCCCGTAAACGGATACAATGCAATGTTCAGATAAATCGTGAGGTTAGAATTATTTTGTTCTTTTTTTTTTAATTTTAAATCTCCACATTTTAAAAAGTTTGAGTTATTGATAGTGTTATGTACATCAAAATTATATTTTTCTACTATATTGAAACCAAAGTTATATTCAAAAAGTTTCGGAGAAAAAATAAGTTACAAAAATCTTTTTAGGTGTCGTCTCCTAAAGTTTTTATTTTTTAAATCGTTTTATGTCAAAACTCTAAAATGTGATAATTCTAACCTCGTGTAATGCATATTTTTTATTAAAAAAAAAAAAAATTAACGACTCGACAAAAATAGTTTAGAAATGTCCAGATTTTTTTTTTTAATTAAGCTTTAACACATTGTTTCCCAATGTACGATTCGACATAAAAAATGCAAAACTAGATTTAATTAGTGATGAACAAGTTCCTGCAATAGTTACCGCCTCATAGGATGCTTCTTTTAATGAGTCTGTTTGCTTTAGTCAATGGAGTAAAAAATTTTTGTCAATTAGGAAAAGTTTTTAAACATGTTTGTTAAACTTCTTAACATTTTCTGTAAATATTACTTTGATATCAACAAAGTCTTTCACAGTTCATCACTTAAAAAAGAGGTTCTTTCACAGTTCATCACTTAAAAAAGAGGTTCTTTCACAGTTCATCACTTAAAAAAGAGGTTCTTTCACAGTTTATCACTTAAAAAAGAGGTTCTTTCACAGCTCATCACCTAAAAAAGAGGTTCTTTCACAGTTCATCACTTAAAAAAGAGGTTCTTTCACAGTTCATCACTTAAAAAAGAGGTTCTTTCACAGCTCATCACTTAAAAAAGAGGTTCTTTCACAGCTCATCACTTAAAAAAAAGGCTCTTTCTATTTAAGTTGTGTGAAGTTAAAAGTTCAAACCCAACTGTAGTGAACTTTTGGCCGGTTTAAAATTCGTTCTCACAATTTATATAATAATAAAGAGCTGAAATTTAAAATAAATTACAATAAATTTTTTGTAAAACTTTGCAATTAAAACCTTGCAATCAAAACCTTGCAATTAAAACCTTGCAATTAAAAGTCATTTTAGCAATGTTTCTGTTTTCCAAATGAAAAGTTAAACACGTTTTAAGTTTTTCTCTCCAGCTGTCTCCAGAAATATGAATGTTTCGCTTTTGTTTCTTTATATTCTCATTAACATGTTAAATTATAACGTATAATTTTTATAAAAACTAGAAAACTGTTTTCTACTATCAAAAATAAAATCACTTTGGTTTTTGATGGTTGAAACTTATTTTTTATATAACTAACTAATGATTTAATTAAGGTGGAAATTTTGAAAACCAATGAAATATGAATCAGCCTTGAAATTATTTGCTACTGAAATAATCCGCAATTGAAAAGAAAATTGATAAATCATAATCTGCTCTGCCATATTTAGTGCACACTGACACTCGCACAACTTCACACTGACACTCGCACAACTTCACACTGACACTCGTACAACTTCACACTGACACTCGCACAACTTAAATAGAAAAAAAAGTTCTGATGAATAAGCTCATCAAAAACTCAGTTTTAAGTAAATTAAATACAATTAAACAATTCAAAATAATTCAAACAAAAAGTTTCGGAAAAATTATTCGAGGAGGTTTTTCAGCTTCATTCGTCGGTTAGCTATAAAAAAAAAAAATTACAGTTTAAAAAAAGTTTAAAAAAAGAAGACTTCTAAAAAAACTTCGAAAATATGTAAGCACGCCAGAAAGATAAAAAATACAGTAAATTTAAATTTTTTTTAAATTTACTGTATTTTTTATTTAATTAAGCTTTAACACATTGTTAAAGCTTAATTAAATAAAAAATACAGTAAACTCAAATCTCTAAGGGACCAAGGAAAACGGTTAGACTAAACGAATTTTATGCAAAGTAAAACAGTTGTTATTTTTTCAAAGAACTATAAAAAATAGTTTGAAATAACAAAAGTTCGAGTTCACCACTGTTCGACTTACGGGAATTAACTGTACTTTTAAAATATGCAAAAACACCAGAAAAATTTAAAATTTAAAATATAAAACACACCAAACACATAAAAAAAAGAACACCAGAAAAATGTTTTTAAAATATGCAAGGACTCCAGAAAAAAAAAAAAAAAACTAAAACAATTTTTTTTTTAACATTGTTAATTTAAATTGTTCAAAATAGAAATTTATTTACAAAAAAAAAATAATTACCTACTTATCTAGCTGGTAACTAATTTCCGGCGGCTTTTGTTACTATAAACAATCACATTAAAAAAATTCAACATGAAAATACAAAACTATTTTTTATTAAATGATATTTCTTATTATTTTTAATATATTTCTTAGCTGTTTTAAATTTATTATTTAAAATTTGTTATTTTTTTGTTACCTAAATCTTTTGGCTAAAATTACTAATGAAAAACTTTTACGTATTCTGGAAAAGAAATAAAACTTTAAGATAAAAACCTGGTGGCGCGGTTGTTCGACGGTGCTTTCGTGTGTGTTTAGCTTCTATAACAGAGTAAAAAAAGTTGGAGATTAATAAATAAATAGAAAAAACTGACTTAAAAATTATTTTGTAGTTATTCGACCAGCGATTATTCCTTATTCAAAAAATTCTTTAAGTTTATATGTATATATAATATATATATATATATATGTATATATATATATATATATTAGGGTGTCCCAAAAAAAAAAAATTTTTTTTTTCCTTTAGTTTTGTGTGTAGTTTTGTCCGTTAAAAGTGAAAATAAGAAGATTTTTGAAAAATTTTGAAGTTTGACCCCCCCGCCCTTCTTTTAAAGTTTTTACCCCCTCTGCCGCCCACTTTTTCAAAATTATTCACTTTTAAACTGATTTTAGGCTAAATATATAAATGTATTAAATATGTTTTGTATCAATATTGATCACTATTATAATTCTAAACTATGTATCATAGCTAATATTAGTAAACATAATTTGTTTCAATTCAACGATTCTCAAAAATTATTAAATATTATTATTCAATGCTTGAGATGAGAAAATTTTTTATGATGAATATTAATGTTACATACATTATTCAAATAATTTTATAATTTATAGCTACTTTTTTATCTATAGATATAATAGCATATATAAAAAATATTTGATCAGTTATGAGAAATAGTAAATTGAGGAAAAATGATGAGAAGTTTGATAATATTGTTGGTAAATTATTACCTACCCTTGAAGCAAAGATGTATAGTCAGCTACCAACAAATGGAGATGTTGTACGCCATTATCTTTATCTTACAAGATTTGAATTGAAATTAACTGGTAAAAAAGAAGTTGCATCTGTAGTTTGGGAAAAAGTTTATGTTTTTTGGAAAATGGCAGGAATTCCAATAAAACAGAAGAAAGATATTGTCAGAATGATACTACATCTGATTCATCTTAGAGAGAACTTGATTAAAAATGCAAAAAAAAAAAGTTATGCAGCTCAACTTCTGAGTTTTACTAATAAACTATCATTATTGTTTGATATTGCAGCATCAAATGCCGAAAATTTGATAAGAAAAGATACCTTGCGTAGTATCAATAGTCAGATCTCAGATATAGACTTTCTCTCAGATCAACGTCACTTAAAAAAGCAATTTTTGGGCCCATTAGACAAGAGTTATGCTATGAAAGTGAAAAGAATGGAGGAAAAAGAGAAAAATAAAATCAAGGCTATTGAAAAAGAGAAATCTAGAAAAGAAAACATAAAAGAAAAAAGCTTCAATGTATTGGCAGCATTTGATAATGAAGGCAAAACTCATAATAAAAATGAAGAAAGTACTATTGCTAGACAGAAAAAAAAAATCAAGATATTAGAAAACCCTAAAGTTTCCTTAATGGCTGATAGGTTGAATCTATCCAACAGAGAAAGATCTGGAATCATTTTAGCTGTAGCTGAAGCATTAGGTCACAATTTAGATGAAATATCTATCTCAAAAAGCACAGCGTACAGATCAGGTAATAAAATTCGACAGCAAGTTTCAAATGATCTTAAGAAAACATTCATTTCACCCATGTACTCTTCCATTCACTGGGATTCAAAGCTGGTATCTGAGGTCGATGGTAAAGTG